TTCTTTGCATCGTATATGTATACAGGGTATCCCAATATTATGTTATTTCTGATAAATTGGAGATTCCTGGGCTAATTTGAAGTAATTCTTTCCTTTACAAAAATTTTCTCCGAAGCATCGTTAAAGAGTTATTAACGAAAAACACTGACCAATGAGAGGCGAGTTCGGGTGGCGCGTAGCGGCTGTGTCAGAAACACTTCATTTGCGCGAAGTACCACAATTTTTAGACACCCTGTACTGTGACGCATACGCTGCTAACACGAAGCAGAACGTACTTCCTGTTCAATCTAATATCTTCACGATTCAGTTATAAATGTAAAATAGTTAAAAATGTTTTCGCATATTAATTCCATCGAAGTGACTAAAGAATTTCACACTATCGATGTTGAAACACCGAAGGTTCAGCTTGCAAACATCCCATCGTTAGTTAAATTCAAAGAAAGCATTTCCTCGATAGGCAAAGGAAAAAGCTATTATAAGCAAGTAAGTGAAACGACTTAGTTGTTGAATGTGTTTAAAACAAGTAAAGAAATAAACGGATAAACAAATTATTTCGTAGCGATTGAGGAAATCATTATCTGTCAAGTGTCGTTTTTCATGTGTTTTGCAGGAAACTATTATAAATATTTTTTCGCATTAGTGGCAACATTCTTATTACAGCAATGACAAAAGTAATTATAAGTATAGATTCATAGAAGTCAATTTACCTTCGACCTTCTCAACAGAGGCAGACGTCACTGCAACCGCAGCCAAGCAAAGAACTCCAAAGAGAATTAAGAGCTTCATGTTGTAGAAGTTTGTATGTCGTCTGTTTGGCACAATTTCCTTTACCTACATCGTGGCCTTTATATACGGCAGAGATCGATTCACTGTTTATCACTACCACAGAGCATAAAGGGAGATATGTACATAGAAATCAGATATTCTGATTTTGATAAAGTGAATGATACCTCTTGAAGACATAGCTGTTACGTAACAAATTTTGTCAAAGTATACCAAATGATATGAATTTTTTTTGGATAATAGAGGAACTAGTCCACTAGAGAATGACTGACATGCTTTCTCTTAATTTTGCTCTCACTTGGAATGACAAAGATAGTAAAAAAATCTCGCCTTTTGACTGCTTCATCTGAGCAATTTCTATATGCAATGTTTAAAAAATACCATTCTTGGATCTAGGTAACTTGTGTGCATGCTGCAAAATTTGATCGAAATCTGTTAACCTAGAATCAAGCTACAAGCGTTGAAAGATTTCAAAAACTGCAGATTTCTTACAGTTTTCGGTCGAAAGTGTCGAAAATCGGGACATAACTGCGATTTTAGCGTTCTTTAATTATTTGCTACCTATATTATTATTATTGGGTTGGCAGGAATGTAATTTCGGTATTACAATGAGAAATAAAACTCAATTTCTTCTATACAAGATATGAACTTTGATCAGTCAAATATTTTCCATTCTGTTCGATGATCTTTTGCCATCTTTCTGGTAACATCATGATAACTCATAAAATTTTTGGGCCTCATCAGTAAAAAACTCAATCAAGTGCCATTTGAGGCTATCGCTCTTATTGAAATTTTTACCATTTAAAAACCGTGGAGAGACACACAACAGCCGTGATTGTTAACTAGCTTAATTCGTTTGTATAACTATGATTGTGAAGTTATGAATTTTATGATGACATATGGTCGAAAGAAATGATTGACGAAGTCAATAGTATAATAGGATAATTCGAAAGAAATACACAATTTTACAAGTAGTTAAATGTAAAGAATGTTATTAATTCTGAAATCTGTCGTCGACGACGAACGTACATACATATTGAAAATATTTAAGTAATTCTGGATAAGTGTTACGTTGTTCACACAGGAATTCGGATCCACTAATCGTTCAGCTATTTACTGAAAGCAAATGGTAGATCGGAACTCGTTAATATGCGAATAATTTTATTATGTAGCTGCACAAAAATGTTCAAAAAATTACGTACTGGCAAATGCACACATCATTTTTATTGCACGAACCCGACGTTTTGCCCATTGCTTTGCAATGAGCACGGCAACAAGTATTTCCACAAAGTTGACAAGTTAAATATGGCTGAACGACCGGTACATTATCGACATCTTCGACTTTATCAACAAGATCGTGTTCTTCTTGACCTGAAAATATTTTTAAGCGTTAGCGTAGGTCTAATTTCTACTGACATCGTCGTGCCAAATGTCGTTTGAAACGAATAAGGTTTTTCTACGATACTGATTTTTCAGCACTTAATTAATACGAATTGGCCAAATATTGGGTTGAGCAATAGATTCGTTCCGTATAGATATAATTTAATATTGATAAACGGTTACAAAAGATATGACATTAGTACAGATTTCTTTGCATCGTATATGTATACAGGGTATCCCAATATTATGTTATTTCTGATAAATTGGAGATTCCTGGGCTAATTTGAAGTAATTTTTTCCTTTACAAAAATTTTCTCCGAAGCATCGTTAAAGAGTTATTAACGAAAAACACTGACCAATGAGAGGCGAGTTCGGGTGGCGCGTAGCGGCTGTGTCAGAAACACTTCATTTGCGCGAAGTACCACAATTTTTAGACACCCTGTACTGTGACGCATACGCTGCTAACACGAAGCAGAACGTACTTCCTGTTCAATCTAATATCTTCACGATTCAGTTATAAATGTAAAATAGTTAAAAATGTTTTCGCATATTAATTCCATCGAAGTGACTAAAGAATTTCACACTATCGATGTTGAAACACCGAAGGTTCAGCTTGCAAACAT